TTCTGTTTCTTTTTTTTTTTTTTTCTTTTTCTTTTTCTTTCTTCCTCTTCCTCTTCCTCTTCTTCTTCTTCTTCCTTTTCTTCTTCTTCTTTTTCTTCTCCTTCTCCTTCTCCCTCTCCTTCTCCTTCTCCTCCTTCTCACAGCTGTAAGTGTATACCTGAAACGAATGGTTATACTGACAGCTGTAGGCCTACAACAGTTCAAGAAGCCGTGTCTAATTACAAATCCGAAGAAGTTGAAAAGAACGTGACCGCTGTATCGTAACATTCACGCACTCGGGGTGAAGGTAAAGTATCGCTAAGCATAATAATTGTTAACGTATTCAGTTTACATGTTATCTATATAACGTTATACAGATTTTACCTGGAAAATATAACCTTCCATCGACAAAAAGTATACCATCAGCCTTCAGCTTCAGCATTGCAGTTAGGGAATAGGTACTCTTATAAATTGGTCGTGCCCTCGACCTATTAAAAATGTGTCATGACGCAGTCGAATCAGGCGCTTGTCAATTTTTGGGCATGTGGTGTTATTGGTATCATCTTAAAGCTTGTTCATTTGTCTTGCCTTACATGAAAAAATACCCATTTATCTTGAACGGAAGTCGAGATATCTTCAATTGAAAGAGGTGGAGGTCGTCTTGTTTCAAAAGTTAAATTAACGAGAAAATGGCTGCCAACGTTGGGTTATTTCTATAGCTGGAGAGCTTGTGGTAAATGAGAACTTAAATTTGTGTGCCTTTAATCAACTTTTCCAGTAAAATCCACACAGAAATGTGTTCTTGAATGGACGTAATATATATATGTCGATCCAAAAGAAAAACAAATTCGATCAAAATAACTTAACTGGAGGGAAAATGCCAGTTCCTTCAATTTTAATTATTTTGAAGAGCGCCTGATTTCACCACGCTGCCCCACATAGATCTATGCTTTACTGAGACCATGACCTCAACCTAATAATACAATGGAAAAAAATAATTCAGATTTCTAGAGAATTATTTAATTTGTTTGTTTGTGGGGGTTTTGGGTTTTTTTTATAATTTTTTTTTTTTTTTTTTTTGGGGGGGGGGGGGGCATTGTTGTTGTTCAAACTTCGCCCGTCAAAAGAAATTGTCAACCTCCGCTTTCTCAACTCAACCCAGTGATAAGACTAGATGTCTCTTTGTTTGTTTTGATAAGTGTTTTTACGGCGCTCGTAACTGTATATATTATCATATGTGCGTGCAGGACACATTAAACAGTTGGTAGAGATCTAGGAGTTAATTTTGAATTTTGCCCCAGTTGCGGCAGAAGCCAACTCTTGTCGATTTTGGACCACCACGAAATCTTCAACGTGCACAATTTGCACACAGTACCTCTGTCATTTTTCATCTTTATTTATCCGAGTAAGCTACATTTGTAGTTTTAAGATCTTACCTACCCTAAGATCGGGAGTGTGTCTGAAAGACAGTAGTTGTAAGAAGAAGTCAATGAGTAGCAGTAAAAAGGCTGCCAAAAGAGTCAGGAGCCTGGAGGAGGTGCCCAATTGGTTGAGGTTTGTTTGTTTCTTGTTGTTGTTTTGTTTTATTTGGGGGGGGGGGGTTATTTGGGGAGAGGGGTGAGACAGAAAGTGGAGGCGGAAGCAGATGACAGAAAAAAGTAAAAGAACTGGAAAGGAGGTGAAAAGAGAACATTTTAAAGGATGAAAATTTTCCGCTGCTGTCAGTTTTCGAACTCAGGAACTATTGAATGAGAGACGGACACCGTAATCTCTAGACCATGAGAGCCGCCTAAGACTGCAATGTTTAATATTAATGTTACTACCAGGGCCGCGTTACCCGTAAGGCTGTTAGGCTAGCCTAGGGCCCCGCGCCTCAGGGGGCCCGCGCTTGCAAACACGACGTTTAAAAAATGTTTTTCAACAACAAAAAAAGAATTGTCCTCTTGTTGAATTGTTGTTGTTGTTTGTTGTTTGTATTGCTGTTGTTTTTACAGTTGTTGTTGTTGTTGATGTTGATGAGAAGGATATTGATGCTACCGCTGTTGCTGTTGTTGGGGCTGCTGCTGATATGTTTTCCGAAGTTGTCTTTTGACTACGCCTAGGCCGAAAACTACAACATTCTAGGTCTACATTACGTCGAAATCCTGGCCACTTACAGTCACTTTCTCTCCTGGCTAAAAGTTATACATGTAGTTATATCGTTTTGTTGAATTCGATCGAGTTTGTTGCTCAACTCTGCAACTTTATTTTCTTCAAGAACGAGCCGCAAGATCTTCAATAAA